TAACAACCTGCGGATTTGATAAAAATGTAAGGTGCCGCTGACAAGAATTGTGCTGCTATGTCCGGATTAACCCTATCAACCGTAGGTTAATGTAAGCGTGATATATTTCTGACTTTAGGGTATAGAGAAATCTGAAGTAGGATTTAAAGGTAGTCTTGCCAACATAGAGCTGGAAGCCACCTATGTGAAACTCGGCATAGATTACGACTTAAGCTTAGAATAGAATGTCATTACAATTTACAACTTAGACGAAACTTAAAATAGCACTTCAGACACGTCCAGACATCTCCAAAGTTTTAGACCGTAATTCGTATATATTTCTGCTTGAATTTAATTTGAAAATGTGACAAGTTTTGTGTAAGCCCGAGATGTAGCTCAAGATGTTAAAAAACAAACCGAAGCCTTCCACTCATTTAAATATTGCTTAGAATAACTATCAAGCCTTTGTTCGCTTGGCTATAAATAATAACCCTTTCATTTCATGACTGTTAGTACCAACGCAGTTGGAATGCCAATTTGGGCTCCTTGATTACCCTACCATGAAGGTTGTCGTGACTGAGTATACTAGGATACTATTTAAGTGAAGACTATTGAAGAATAGAACTTTCCACACAAGTTCCAAGACTTGATCTTTTGAATGGAATTGCTTGTACTATATTAGTGAGATTAATTTCAATTTTGAGCGAAAGTATGATGAAGAAATTAAAAGCAATTCCAGTCAAAAATAGCTCCTTTCCTCTTAGTAAACTGCCGATTTGATTTAGTGGAGCATTTTTGTTGATGCTGCCACCATTATAACCTTAATCGACTCCAGTGAGAAATTGTTAGTTATTGTCTGAGAGATGAGAGATACCGGCAGAACCGAGGCCTATCCTTATAATAATGCCAGGACTGACGAATGATGCAAATTCGCTTGATCATTCCTAATGGTTGTGCATACCTTCCTGACTTATGAATTCCTATAAGACAAAGTAATTCGATTAGTCATATACCAAATAGCTGAGCTTATGCGCTTTCAGACGTACATCTAGCCACCGACCGATATTAGCAACACAAAGTAATTATAACAACTTTAAAATATAACACTCCTCTGTTAATCTTAACTATCATTCCCAAAGAGTAATGTCTAAAAAACACTTAATTTAGCCGATGAGTTTTTTGTATGAGACGAACTAAGACGCATATAAATTATGACCGTATTTATAACCATTGCCAATGAGAAAGAAGTCGTGGCACTAATTATTCAAGATGATTTAATCCCATTCCCATCCTTCATTTTACCAATTAAGCACAAGTAGTTCTTATTTAACTATCGGCTTATCCATGTATGAGAACTCACCAAATGCTAATATTTTTTTGAATCATCAATTAAAGAAATTATCCACTAAATATTCCCAATATTCAGATACGTTTCATAATTGTCCGCAAAGGAATCGTGAAATCAAATCTGCATTAATTCCTTCATTATCAAAATATAATACTAAAAGCATTTTGTCATTATATAAATTTAGAGGACCCTAAGCTGGTGTCCGATTAACAATGTGAAGAAATGAACTCTCTTTGCACCTCTCAGATGCTTACAAAAGCTCCCAAATAGATTTTATATCATTAATGGAATTCTTGCTAGAGGTTAATTGCTCCTCAGCCGTCTACATGGAATACGGCGTAATCTAGCCAATAATTATTCCGCACCAACCTTACCTGCTATTTTAACATGTAGACCACCTGACAAAATATCTGGCAATCGGTTCAATGTAGTGAGATTTATCAGGAATAATTGTCTGATCAAGGTGAGGAATGAATAATCCTTCTGTAGCAATCTTAGCCTACTCTGGTAGTCTGTCTGCTTTAATTAGCATCAACAGGAATATTTATCTCATTCACTTTCCAATAGTCTAAATTATTTAGCTTTTTATTGCGACGGCAATATGAATTTGTTCCGCCCTTGCCAGAGTATAATCAGTTTCTGATCCAAGTATTTCACTCGACCCCTGCCACCCTATACGTGCTACTCAAGGCGTTATTTCTCACACGCTGAGTCTGGGAGACTCCCTTTAGGTTAAAGCCCCTGAGTAGTTCTCATGGTCCTTTGCTGCATGGACCACGTCTATAGTAAAATAGGCCTACTGTAAGCCAACTAGGTCTAGTCTCCGCCGCGTCTATTCTGTTTCTATCCGTAATGCCAAGTCTATGACTTGCTATGCCCTAGTCTCTTATGTGCCAGCCCACACATGTTGTGGTACAGCTTGCTTTGATTAGGTTTAATGTTGAATCACAACGTTTGTGGGTTGGCACACAAGAGATTAGGGCATAGCAAGTCATAGACTAGGTATTGTGGATAGAAACAGAATAGAAGCGGCGGAGACTAGAGCTCGTTAGCTGAAAGTAGGCCTATTTTACTATAGACGTGGTCAATGCAGCAAAGGACCATGAGAACTACTTAGGGGCTTTAGCCTCGAGTTAGTCTCCCAGACTCAGGGTATGGGAAATAATGCCTTGAGTAGCACATATGGGGTGGCAGAGTTCGAGTTAAATAATTGGATCAGAAACTGATTATACTCTGGCAAGGGCGGAACAAATTCATAATGCCGTCGCAATAAGAGGCTAAGTAATTTAGACTCTTGGAAAGTAAGTGAGATAAATAATCCTATTGATGCTAATTAAAGCAAATAATCTGGCAAACAGACTACCAGATGAGGTTAAGATTGCTAAAGAAAAGTTATTCATTCCTCCCATTAATCAAACAATCATTCCAGAGAAATCTCACTACATTGAACTGATTGCCAAATATTTTGTCAGGTGATCTACGTGTTCAAAGAGCAGGTAAGGTTTGTGCGGAAGAATTAACGACTGTCTTAAGCAAGTACCTAGATGAATACCAGAGGTCGTCATTAGCAATGGGGCAAATATGAATGAGTCCTCAAGAATGCATCCTCCGAATAATTGAAATTAATAGCTAGAATCGTAACTAATAAATAATAATGAGTGTAGCACTTCGTGAAAATATAGCAACTGTGACCCTAACTAATAGCTTAGATGACCAAGACAGACACGGACGATAGCGTAAAATTTAGAGAAAAAGCCTGGAACTAAGCAGAGTTGTCGATACACCATAATAGACAAGTTAAATAAACTAAGTCGTTTCTAAAAAATCATATATATCAGGCACCTCCAGAAGAATCAAAGAGCGGTGGATAAAATGTTAAGGTGATGGGACCAATAGTCATAAGCGATCCATTATTGATGCTGGTGATGTAGCCAAGATTTTCTGCACCATAAACGCTGTTTAGGTACTTATTCGAACATGTGAAATGTAGATAAAGTACTATTTCATAAATTATCTCTGGGCCCATAAGACGCTAAAAATGGATATGGCACCAAAGGAGACTAATAAAATCGGCACATAGAAGTGAGTAAAGAAACAAAAAATAAGAATAATATTGTAGTTTCAACCAATAAGATGATTCAAATACAGGACAAAAGATAATAGATATTGATCACTATAAAAAAAGAAACATAAAGATATACTTGAGCAGACATAAAAAATGAGGAAATCATATTTCATTGTTAAATGGAATTGTACGGAGCAAAAAGTAATTTGAAAGTGGAAAGAGATGTGACAGACCCTTCGAAGTAGACAGGCAAGATGGAGAGCCTGTAAAAAATAAATGCAATTAAACAGAACTTATAAGAAGAATGACTGTTATAAGAAATAAATATAAAAATAAAGTAAACCTACTATTAAAAGATAACGTTATAAATTTTACTGAGTAAAACTTATTTGTCAGGATTAATACTCCCAGTCCATTTAAAACGAAAAAAATCGCATAAAACAAGTAATTTTAGCATATTTGCTTGGAAAAACCGGTGCAAAAATACTCACAGCTGAGGTTAATTTGAGATTTAAATCATCTAAGGAGCCCATTGCTTGATAAGTAACAATGAAGTATGTACCAATGAAGACGCATACATTCTAAATAGAAATTCGGAGACAATTTTCATGACATCTTCCAAACACTAAATACTTATCGGATGATGAGGCTGAAGCCTAGAAAAAAATGATTACAAATCCTTATATCAAATACAAATTCTATAATTAAAGTTAAATTCAAAAAAGGCATTACAAGTATGTGATATATATATGAATCTTAGTGCTATAAAAAGTGAGGGCAGGTGGAGTAGATACGAATGTGCTAAATGGACTAAAATTTCTATTTTAGATGTATTAGTTAAAGAATAGACAAGAATCATATATTAAAATGACGAAAAAAGGTGGAGGCTTAAATAGAGTCAACGAAATATCAAGTCGGATGGCACAGTGAAATGTGAAATGCGAACAAATGGTAGACTAAGTAGTAATGAGCTTTCGAGGTATACCTGATCTCAGGAATCTGGGGAAACGAGATCCAACCCGATGTCACAGTTGGGATTTCCAGAGCGTATTGACTCAGCGTGGAGAATGTATTGCACCGGAGGAATGCGTACTTTTTTTACACAATCGAGGGATCGCATTCGGTTGATGTAGGTGCGTAAATTAGGCCAGAGATTTTCATTTGAATCAGGGCCTCCGTAAGGCAGACAGCAATCATCCCCAGTTTTAGAACATTCAGTGAGCACATCTGACTCCGTAACCTGAAATAAGTGCAGCATCAGCAGCTCCCAGGAGTCAAAAAAGGGGTAAATTACGAAGTCAGAGAGACTGAGTTTGTTACCTATATAAGGAAAATAAGCTTGATAAATGTAGTATCGTGGTAAAAATGATTCCGAATTTTAAACAATATATTCCAAATGTTGACTCGGCCTCGTTTTCTCAACTTGATCTGAGCGTTAAGAAGACCTTGTGGAACGTACCTAGTCCTGTCCTTTTCAATGTATTCGTGAAGTCCAACATCGGACAACTGATTTGGTACATTCCCAAACGCTTCGCCGGCATTGTCAATGAGAGGCGTCATCTTTAGCACAGTTACAACTTATCAGTGACAAATAAAGACAATACCCTAAACCAACTTATTGTTTGGGCGTTAATTGTCACTTTGATAAATTGTAACTCTGTGCCAACGATGACGTCTCTCAATGAGATTGCTGACTAAACGTTTGGGAATGTACACAGACAATGGCATAATACTGGAAATCATTAATACTATGGCAGAGGAAATGGAACTAGGTACGTTCTACAAGGTCTCCCTGGGGCTCTGACTATGTTGTGAGGTCGAACAGACAAAAAGAGACTGCGACCAGAGACACACAATTATAGTCTTCATACCTAAGAATATATTCCAAGGTAAACAATAACATTGAACTTGGTTTGAATTGAATATTGTTTAATTTTTATTCCTAATTGAAATCACAAAAATAGCGTAGGAATCAGGATGTTCGTATATCCATGTAGTTATGGTGGATCCTGATATAAAAATAATAGGTATTTTGAATAGGAATATACTTCCCTCCCTTTATCAAAAATAGTTTAATAAGATATATAGCAGGACTTAAAAACCGCTATATGAGCTTTAATGGCCCTAGGGCGCAAAGTAACTGATAGTTGAATTTTCCTACAATGCTAAGAGTAGGCCCCAGGCCTACAGAGAATTTACAAAGCCTTGCACTTAAAAAACACCCTGTTACAGAATAAACCGCATTTCCGACCTAGATGAGTATCATCAGCAACCCCGACGACACTAGAATCCGAGTAGTGCAGCGTATAGTCTCGACTCGCTCTCCCTACACAGAAGTGCCACGAATGCCCCTGGGTCACATAGCATAAATGAATCACGAGGCCTTGCCTATACAATATTTTTGTAATGGGCTTGTCGACTAAACAAGCTTACATTTTCTACAAAAATCGACTATAATGCAATATGAAATTCGTTGGAAACATGGGGCTTACTCAAACCAATGCAGGAAAATTAAAATATCATTCCAATGTGACAGAGTGAATACACACCTTATTAATTATCTACTGAGAGGTCCGAATGCCGCAGACTATATGGATCAAAAGATGTTCTGCAGAGGTGGGTTCATTAAGCCCTTCAAAATCATGAAAATACTGAACTTTAAGAGTAAAGTATGAAAACCAAAAGAGTACGACATCTATTATCGCCCCGGACTCCTTTCGTTATATAAATGGTTTGATCTTGTAGTATCAGAGAAACATATTTGAGAAGACAAAACCCGAAGTACTTGCCATAGAAACCATGATAGTTTTTATCGTATGGCCTTAGACTTGTTATAAAATTGCCAAGTTTTGAAAATGAGGTCAGAGAACGTGTGGATATAATTTATTATTCCTTGTACATGTACAGAAATGAAGCTGGACAAACCTAAAATATGTTAGGGTAATCAACAATAAGCCGAAAATTAAGTATTGGTTTCGATATGGTTCCAATATAAAATAGGAGCCCTCTAGAGGCAAAATTAGAATAAAAGCTGGGGCTATAATAATCATAGACTATTCAAATCCATCATAAAATATACAAATATAATTTTGACAAAAACGTATAGGATTAACACATTCGGCCAAATAATGAACGAAAATCATATTAAATAAGATAATCACCTAGACTATTGATAGCCATTTTGAATGGAAGAAACATATTAAGGTATGTAATAAGCAAAAGCTGATTTGACTCCACTTGCCAACTCGACCAGTTGTTGTTTGATGCTCTATGTGAATTACTCGTGACGATATTAAATTGTGACAATATGCCTTTAGGTAAACTTCATGAACAACCCGCTGCATAAAGTACAGACAAAATAAGAAAAATGAACAGTAGTTATAAGCATTTAAATCAATAAGACCAAGTCGGGAAAACTAGGAAAAATCAAATTGTTTGACCTTAGATTCGCAACTTGGCGATAATAGTAGGAAGGCCTAGAAGAATGCACCTTTTCCGGAGTCCATAGTATGCATGCTCATTTCGAGGATTGGACCGTGGATTTGGTACAGTCCCAGACATTTCTCCGGCTTCGTAGTCGGCATCATTAGTGAGTCTTGCCATTCTCAGCAAACCAAGCCACAACTCGTCAAAAAGGCAAGTGAAGTCAATCCCCTGACAAACTTTATGGCGAAAAGGTCGTGCTATCACTCCTCGTTTTGTCCTGATCTCTATCCATTTCCTACTATCTAGTCTCACCCTAATCCTATCACAAATTCTGACATGTTTATATTCCATAATAGATATGCCCTTTTGGCGAATTTACCGTGGCGTTATCACACCTGCTGTTTGCCTTGCTCTTCTCACTTTTGAGTGGCTGATCCTGCTTTAGTCTCTTTTCCGGATCTGCCCCATGGGCCCGTAGGTCCGTTTATCTTTCTGGTTGACCAATTTCACCCGGTTCCAGCACAAACGTACTTTTACTCCAGGTGCTATTTCTCAGGCATTCAGTAGCACGTACAGTCGCCTTATCGTGGGAGAGCCTAGTCTCTAATTGCCATGCCTGCGGATATTAGGCATTACCTTCACACATCATCTCCTCGATTGAGCCCGTGTAAACTAAGCAAACTGTGGACATCTATCTCTTGTCGCTTGGTGTATCTCAAGTGGATTATAAGCTCATTTGGTCACGATGCCAGATTTCTGTGATCCAATTCCTCTGCATAGTCACGTGAATCGTCGTGCCACCTAGTTGTAGCCGTTTATTCGAGCTGACTATTCTCACTGAAAACGTCTTCGATTCATTTTCAAAGCCTCCTCACCATCTTCTTCCTTGCGATTCTTTTTCCTCTGTTTTAAGATAGATCCTTGATGCAGGAGTCTCCTTTTTACTTGTCTTGTTGCATCTTTGTTTTCTCCGAGTTTATTAGGCAATATGCATAGTTATCACTGACTCTGGCTTCTTCTCATCTCCTGTTCATTATCCCCTCTAAGGATGTCAATGGCCTCCCTAATCTTTCGTTTCTTTGAGATTTCACTATATGAAGCCCTTCTTTCTGTTGTTTTCCAATTGATCTCTTGCCCAGTCCTTGTGATGTGTTCCGATATATCTAATCTTTCAGTATCCATTTTCCTTCAGAGCTTTTGATGTTCTTTGATTCGTATGATAGCATAACCGTTTCGGCATAAAGTTTGACAAGGGATTAACTTCACTTCCCTCTTTGACAAGTTGTGGCCTGGTTTGCTGAGAATGGCAACTGATGATGCCGACTACGATGCCGGAGAAATGTCTAGGAATGTACCAAATCCACGGTCCGACCCTGTTAATGAGCATGCATGCTATGGACTCTGGACAAGTTGCCTTCCTCTAGGTCTTTCTACTAATATGACCAAGTTGGGAATACAAGGTCAAGCAACTTCTATAAAGCGAAAGGATACCGCGACTATACAAAAGGCCACATCATCCTTATCTTCATACCTTCTAGGAAAAATCAAGGATAAATAGAAATATTCCAAATATACTGACATTAAAACTTGAAATTTAGTATTGGTTCGTCCCTGTTTTCGCAACTTGATATCAACGTCAGGGAGACTTTGTGAAACGTATCTAGTCCAGTGTCCTCTGCCATATTATTCGTGATTTCCAGCTTCGGACCATTGACTTGGTACATTTCCTGATTTTTCGCCGGCATCATAAGTGAGAAGCGCCATCATTAGCACAGAGTTACAACTTATCAGTTATAAAACATCTCACTAACGATGCCGGCGAAACGTTTGGGAGTGTACCAAATCAATGGTCCAAGCTCGAAATCACGAATGCCAGGGCAGAAGACACAGGACTGGGTATGTTCTACAAAGTCTGCCTGACGCTGTGACCAAGTTACGAAAACAAGGTCGAGCCAGAACTATAAGGCTAAGACTGCGACCGAACAGAAGGCCACACCATCTTAGTCTTTATATTGCATTTAAATTAATAAAATATACTAATATTTATAAGAAACATGATCCTTCCAATAAATTAATAAGTCAATGAATTTCACTTCCTATCTAAGACATAAAGATACATGTAATTCTTTACCAAATTGGAGTATGGCCGTTGCGTGTAAGCTAGTTAAAACATTTGCCTAGTATTCTTTTTTAATGACCACTGATTAGTAAAAATGAATAAAATATGAGTGAATTTCCGAATTACAGAGAATAAATCATTGTTTCACGAGATGGATATTTGGGAGAATGAGTCGGTATAAAGACTAAACCACATAAAATGATCAATCAGACCAGATTCGTGGGATTGAATAATTGTGATGGATAGAAATGAATGTGCTGACTAGAACACTGTCGAGGTCCAATGAAAGTAATCCATGATTAATTTAAGGTAAGGAAAAAAATTCGATTGATGAGAATGCACTTATCTGATAATTATTGTGTCATTATCGATCTAAGATATTCCAACCATTAGGGTCTCATAGTAAATAATAACACTGGTCATTTTCAAAATTACACATAAGTTTTATGTAAAAAATTCAACCCTATATAGATCGAAACCATGCGGATAAGGTACAAAAGTTCCTTGAGACTTAATAAAGGACAATACATGCGACAGTGTTTAGGTAAAATTCTAACAATAAAGCTCAGGAATGCTTATCACACTTTTCCCCCTCTTGCTGTTTAAAATCCTTCAACAATTGCCTAAGTCAATGAAGGGTTGAGTTTGGAAATAAATTTGCTTTCTGCATTTATTGATAGTAAACAATATATGTAGAGTAAAATGTTAGAACC